AATTGTAGTTGGTGAGAAAATAATTGTTGGTCAGTATTTGAAAGAAAGAAAGAGTGAATTATCATGAGGAATGAGAAAGAGAGTCGGTTGGTTATAGGCGGTCCATCCCCCTTTTAAATCTTAATTAAGGGTATTCATAGTGACCCTTAGTGCATGTATAAGTTGTATGACTATTTGTAGGTTCACAATCTAAGTAGATATGATAGTTAGACTTTAAATTTTTATTTTGCCGTATCACATAAGTATGTTAGAGATTATGTCTAAAGGTCTTGTTTATAAATAATAAATTTTTGGAGGACCTTTGTATGGGGAGTCAAGTTCTTTGGAAACTCCAACAAACGAGAGAAATCGATTGGAGACTTTTGACTGATAGAGAATTGGTAGTTTCCGAAGATCGTTCTATGGAGATAATTTCAAAATTTTAATTTTAGTTCAAACAATATTCAAGATAACCTATAATAATATGTGTTCAATCAATTATCAGTTGGTCTAATAGGATAAGATACTAAATCTTTTAAATAAATTTAATAGTTTGAATTTTAACATTGTGAATGAAAAAACTGAATTGAAATGAATGATTCTATGAAAACCTCTATTGTATCTATATAAGATATTGATGATTATAAAAAAAAAACATTAAAAGAATTTGGGAACATGGGATGTGGGATGGGTAGGGCATTACTTGGAAGATTTGATTTGGCATGTGATCATTCTCATGGACCGTTTGAGTAATTGAATCATTTGATTCAATTAGTTGACGTTGGATGATATGGTAATTAAGTATTGATTTTGATCAATAAAAGTTGAATAGTAAAGTAGAATAAGGCAAAGAATTGCAGGAATAATAGGAATAGCTATTTAGCTACACAAATAAGACACACGACACGTTAAAAAAACCAACAAACCATTACTATAAGCAGGATGGAATTAGGGTCTGACAGAGACCAACATCCTTTGAAAATTTCATATTCTTATACAATTTAGATTTTTTATCTGTATTTTTTATTGACAACCTATTTTTATTTTCTTTAACATAAAATTTTATATCCGTCCATGTATATGCAAGCCTTGAATCTTGAGAATAAGTTACTAAAACTAAGATCACGACCATTGGTGTCAATATAAACCGAACTCGAACTCGAGTTGTTTTTAGATACAGTATTGACTGTTTATTACCTAACTGAGGGTGAGATGATTTTAGCTCACCTACACCGGCAGGGGTGGCCTTTGCCGGATCTAACTAGCAACAACCATCTCTTTCGGCTAATGATATTTATCCAAATAATAGGGACAAGGAAACTGTGCTGCAATTTCCCCAGCCTTGGCATTGTTAGATAAACCAATTTGATCTGTTGTAAAGTCAAGGTTTTAAAGGGTTTTTTTCTCTCTCTCTTTAAGGTGGAAGAAAATAAGGAAAAGGTAAAGCAAATTCCATGCAATTAAAAAAATAAACTTGTGATAAGGTGAGGCCAAAATCCCGGAGTCAAGATAAGGAAAGTTTAAAGAATTTTCATCTTTATATATATTTGTTGATTTTTTTTTCTTGTAAAGGAAGTAAAACATAATAAAGAGAAACAGTTACCCTATAAATTTGTTATAAAAACAACTCTCATAATTTAATCTATTTAATTTTTTAAATAGTCTGAGTTGATTATAAGATAATATTTGTTTATAGTTTCTCTTTGTCATTGACAACACACACTCAATAGACATGACTACTCGAATTCAAGACTTCTAAAAAAATGAATAAGAAAAATTATGAACGAATATTAACTTGTAATCACTCAAGACTACTCAAAAAATTTAATCAATTCACAAAACTAGAAATCAAGCTCTGGATTTTAATTAAGAGATCTAATGTTAATAAATTAAATATCGACAATTCTACTAACAAAAACATTATGACAATTGACAAAAACAAATGTGGGAATTGAAGTTTAGGAATAAATGGTGTTATGTAAGATTTAGGGACGAAGCATATAGAGAGCGGAAGGAGATCTGACCCCTCTCAAAATTCTTGAGATTAAATATTTAATGAATTCCTATTATTTTAAATTTACATAATTAGCCTTTCTAAGAGATGATCATAGATCAGGTTAAGTATGATTTTTTAGTTTACTCAAACTTGACCCAAAAATTAAACCTTTCCACTCGAATAGATCTGAATTTAAGAGAGTTCAATCCGATCCAAAACTCAACTCAAATTTTGAGGTAAAATCTAGCATTGGACTTGACATATATATTATTTTTATTTATAAAATAGGACTTAACTGGGAAAAAATACAGGGAGGTGTATTATTGTAATTATCTTTAAATATACAAAGGGTAATTATAATATTATCTCGGGTCAATCCTAAACTCAAACTTGACTCGACCTGTGATCTGATTCCATCCTCCAAAAAACTCAATCCGAATTTTCAAGAAAAAAAAGTGACATGATCAAATCAGATTGAGTCAAAATCTAATAGATTTAGATAAAATATACATCCAGCCTCTTTCAATATTTAATCCTAATTTCGTCTCTGATAAAAAAAATTATCATGTTTTGGACATCACGCCACTCTTGTGTATATCATCAGAAAACATTTTAAACTTTTTGCATAGAAGAACCATGCATTCTACCTATCTCATTTAAAGCTTTCAGAGTTTTTAAAGACTTTGACCACCCAATCTTGAAAGTTAAAACCATAAAAGAAAGAAAGAAAAATGGTAGGTTTTAGCCTTCTCATTCTCTTACTTTGCTTCCTTTGCACTCATAGAATGTCCCCATGGAATCCTTAATGTTTGGTCCCTTTGTGTTTTGATTTACAGCTCTTACTCTCTTTGTTTTTCCTTTTTAAGTCAATTCTTATATGGCCCCCCTGGAGGAATAGATACTAATAGGACCTCTGCTAATATAATTTTCTATGATCAACATATGTTGAATCGAGTAGTAAAGAGTTCGATGTCTCTTAAATAAGATCTCATATTTAAATTTTATAGATTAATAAAGAAACAATATAGGTAAAACTTTAACAAGTTTAATATAATCGAAATTCAATGTAAGTTGATTTAGACTTTGGACCAAACAATGAAGTTGATAAGGCAATGTGGGGGATAATTTTGCAGGAAAGAAATGTCAAAAAGGATGCTTTGAGTTGATGGGTATATAATATTTGTAAAAGTATGTAATGAGGATGTAGGCAATCCTAGAAACCAAGAAATTTCTGGTTGTGGAATCATTTGTCCAAAGGAAAGAGCCCATTTCTTCACATTTATGAAGACTTTGTCATATTATAATGCATCTATCCCTTTCTTCTGTGGATAATTACAATAGTGTTTCCAAATCCTTTCTCATCTTATCTATTCTTCCAGCCCTACTTTAATTCACTGTAGTTGTTCAATGATTATAATATATTTTAATTTCTGTGTAGGTTTCTAAATTAACTGGTCCCACGACATCACGGAGGGCATTTCATAATTTGGAGGTCTTCTACAGAAGCTGCTCTCAACCTGGTATTAGGGGCAACCTACTATCCTACCTCCCTCTTATCCCATTACATATGGGAATAAGGATCATCTAATTTTTTTCTAAATTAACTGGTGACGAATGAAAAATAACACGTTGCGCAAGACATTAGGGTGTCAAATGATAATTATATTAACATCAATTTTCTTTTAATTCATACTGTGGTTTAATTTTTTTTAACTTCATCATTGAATATATATATGGGTTAGAATATACTTACACAATGTAATTTTTTTTAGTTTTACACAGATTTATGACCGTTAGATTAGTGAAAATAGATGGCTGACATTAATTCCTTATTCTTTTCCCCTATGTTATTCTAATGTTATTCTCATCCATCTATTTGTACTCATCTAACGGTCTTAAATTATGTAAAACTAAAAGAGTTTCACATTGTATAATAGAACCATATATATATATATATATATATATATATATATATATATATATATATATATATATATATATATATTATAGTATTAAGAGGGGTTGTTGGATATTAGATATTACAATATCTAAATTAAGATAATCTATATTGACTTAAAATTAAAGTCAATGGGTTGTTGGATTTTTAGAGCTTTAAATAAAACCATTATATAACTACAAGTTAAACACGTATTCATGCATGTAGATTTGGTTTCTGACCTGTGGATTAAATCCAAACAACATGCTTAGATGTTAGAAAAGTCGATATAATCGATTGGATAAAAAAAAATTTAAATATAAAATGAATGAAATTCAAAATAAATTAATCAAATAATATACAACGATTAAAAAAACTAATCCGAATTGATTCGATTGGAAATTATGGGTTTAGGTTAGTAGGATTATTTTAGAAAGTAGTTAAAGGAGGGGTGGTAAGAATGGAAGAGATCGTAGATAATTAAGGAAAGTTGGTAGTAGGTGTATATATGGTGAGGCCCATTGCTTTATACCTTGCAATTCCTAGATTTTGCACTTCACTCACTATATTCAATTGATTTTTTTAATTGTGGTGGTTATAAAAAATATCTACTCAAAATCTTTTTTAATCATTGACAATGCATATATACATTACAGACGCAACTACTCAAACTTAAAACTCTTAGGGAGAATAACATTCCTATTAATCATTAAAACTACTTGATGAATTCTATTTGAAGTGGAATTTTGATATTTTGTTTATATAACCTTAACATAAAAAATAAATAATTTATACTGATGTCTTTAATTAAAAACTTAATTATACGAAAGAGTGTAAATCATTATATAAATTTCGAGTTTAAACAACTACATCTATGTGTATTTTGTCAATAATTAAAAGAAATCTCGAATAGAACCCCTTATGATCACCCTAGACTATTCGAAAAAAATATTTTTTTTCATATATCATAATCACTGACAAAATAGCTTGAGATAATCTGTGAAACTGACCCAATCTCTTAAAACAAAAAGATAATTAGTTCCTCTAAATTGTAACAATGGAGATTTCACCACCAAAATAGACAATTAAACCAAAACCAACACCAAGTTCATATAGTGAATACACCTTACAATTTCGCATTTCAAAAGCTAACCTTTCACATGGAGGCAAAAGCCTTCTTCCCTCCACCGGAAGACCCGGCTGGAATGACCTTTAAGACATTGAACCTCACTGTCTTCGACAACGGCCTGCAAAGTTTAATCGATTCATTAATATATCGGAGATGGGGAGGTCAGGGCAAAATCGAGACAATAAAAATGAAAAGGATGAAACGAAATCAAACAATGAACCTGCATTGCCCGATTATAACATGATCCCCTTCTTTAACACGAAAGCAGGGGGATATATGAGCTGGGATATTACTGTGCCTCTTTTCGTATCTGAAAACAATTGCGAAACAATATTAAATGACATACATTAGAGGTTTTTACAAATGTGAATCACAGTCTCCAGCAAATAATATAAACCAAAATATCTAGCAAATTAACAAAGATATTAAAATTAAAAAGAAAAGAGGATAACTTGCCTTTGGTATTTCTTGATGAAGTGAAGGTAGTTCCTTCGAACAATAATGGTCCTCACCATTTTCGCACTATGGCAAGTGCCGGCAAGGATACGGCCTCTGATAGAAACAGTGCCGGTAAATGGGCATTTCTTATCAATATATGTTCCTAACCAATGGCGAAACCCCCAATGTTAGTATCAACAAATCCAATTGAAGAAACAAATAAAGAACAAGAATGAAACAACAGTAAAATGAAAATGCATTAACGGAAAAAATTAAACAATGTTAGATTTCCAAACAAAGAGACACACTGTTTAAGCAAAAGTATCTGAAACATGTTAAAAAAAGATATGACATCCACATTGTATCCTATGACTGAGAAAAATCACTAAAAGTCATAAAAAACATATAACATCAAGGCCAAATGTTCAATTTGGGACTAAACCATCAAGACCCTATAGCGAATAAGGACTAAACCATCAAGACCCTATAGCGAATAAGGACTAAACCTTTAAGACATGCTCAAATAAGGACTTTTGCAAGTTGAAATGGTCCATTAAGGACCAAACCATCAATTAAACCATAAACCAATTACTCCAAACCCCAAACTATTTCGTTTAAGAATCAAAGTTCTAGCGGAGAGCAGAGAACATTATTCAGTGATGAATGCGAGGAACCATGCAAAGACTAAGAAGTAAACCAAGTTGCAAAAAAAAATTACATTGCAATAAACTTTAATCCTACAAATCACATTACAGTAAACAAACCTTCAATTGCCTCTCTGGGTGTCTTAAACCCTAATCCAATGCTTTTCCAGAAGCGATTACCACCCTTCCCAGGTCTCTTTCCTTTCCCAGATTTTTTAGAACTGAGAGAGAGGAATGGTCTCAAAACGATAATTAGAAATAAATAGTAAATAAGAAAAGAATTAAGTTAATTACCTCAAAAATATTTTTGGCTGTTTAAGAAACGCCTTCTCCGTCTAATACACGTAGTGAAATGGAAAGATCAAAGCAGTGCCAAAACATAAAGAAAATACAGAGAAAATGGAAATAGAGATAGAAATGTGGACCTGTTCCGCCATGGCTGAGCAAAGAGTGGACTACTAGTTACTGCAGCAAAAACCCTAATTGCAAGCGGCAAGAAAATGCAGCCGCCTTTTATATATATATATATAGGGTTTCATTTGCAAATTCCTTTCTTTTTTGCTTACTGGTGCTTTTAATGGAGCCATTGGTGGGCTGCCTAGTTTCAGCCCGATCAGGAAATATATGGTAATACAAAAAAATTTAAACATTAAAAGAAATAGAAGTTATTTAAAAAATCTTGAAATATTATTAATAATAAAAAATAACTAATTTTTAGTAATACAAATTTTTTATATATACTTTTACTATAATTTCAAGTAATAGCACTTTTTTAACTAATAATGGTTTCAAGTATTAACTAGGAGTAAATATAAATAATAATTGATTTCAAAATGAAGTATATCTAGGGATAGACATGAGACCCGAATTTAATGGATTTCGATCTGACCCGATCTGATCTGACTTGAACGGGGATATAGATAAAGAGATCTACATAGAGCAATTATCATATTTTGTGGCTCATGGTATGGAAGGTAAAGTGTGTAGATTCAAGAAGTCTCTTTATGGCCTTAAACAAGTTTTAATGTAATTGTACAATAAAATTCATAAAATCATTCTTAGTTTTAATTTTGTTGTTAATGATGTTGATACATGTGTATATTCAAAAATTGTTTAGTTTTGATTGTCATTATAAGTTTGTATGTAAATTAAATGTTAATTTTCAATACTAGCATAAAAACATTAATAAAATAAACAAAATTACCTATCAAATTTAAAATGACTAATTTAAGAGAGGTAGATGTAATCTTAAAAATTAAAATTACTAAAATTGAGGGAAGTTTCTTTAAATTAATCACAATACATTGAAAAATTTAAAAAAAAATTAAAAAAATTTGATAGTTTTGACATCGAAAACTACTTATGACTCGAGCATACATCTTTTAGAAATAAAGAAAATACTATTTCTCATATTGAGTAACCTCAAATAATTAGTAGCCTTATATTCTTATCGAAAAATATTTGGTCAGATATCATCTATGTTGTTAGTAGACTAAGTAGATATACTCCTACTCATAGTAATGAACACTAAATTGAACTCAAACGTTTACTAAAGTATCTTAAAGATACAATGGATCAGAAATTAGAATTTGTTGGTTATCATAAATACCTATATGGATATTGTTAGGGACGCAGCTACCTTGGAAGTGGGAGGTGCAATAGCCCTCTAATTTTGATGGTTTAATTAATTTTAGGTTATTAATATTTTTGAAATCATTAAAATTAAGTCCTTACCCTCCCAAAATTTACATGTTTAATTATATTTTAGGGACATTTTCGTCTTAAAATCAAATTTTGATTTCTAATTTTTCTGGTTTACTTAGTCTTTAAAATCATTCAATTTTAAATTAGTGAAATGAAACCATAACTCCTTTAAATTTTATGATTTATTTAATTTTAAAGACCTTATTTATTTCACTGTTAAATAACTTGTCCCCCTCGTAGTTCAATCATAGCTTCATCTCTGGATATTGTAATGACAATTGGGTATCCAGTAATGTTGAGTTAATCGAATGACGAAATTGGCTAAGAGGGGGGTGAATTGGCAATAAAAATTTTGTGGAAGCTTTTGCAGAAAATTGAAAATAATTGCACAGCGGTTTACAGTGGTTCGACTTTTTCAAACAAAGTCTACGTCCACTACCTTAGCTATCCACACTAAGGATTTTCCAACAAATTCACTAATTTGTTCTTTCTTTTGAGGCCAAAGAGATAACCTTACAATTCCCTCAAGAGTATACCCCAACTCTTGAGAACACTCTTTTCTCAAAGAGAAGATTACAAATTTGCAAACTTACAAGAAAACCTCACAAGGTAAGATGTTTGCACAATTCTAGAACAAAGAAAAGAACACTCAAAGATGAATACAATTAAGCACAAAAAGTGTTCTTTGAAAGCAAAATGAATATTGAATGAAAATAGGCTTGAAATGCTCAAACTTGAGGTTTGATGCTTTCTCTTTGATTCTCTCTTGATTCTAGTTGCTTGATGTTTCTTGTTGTTGATCAATGGCTTCTAAGCTTGCTTAAATACACCTTGGATCACTTCTGAACGTTGGGGATAATTAGAGAAGATATTATAGCCGTTTTAGTGTGAAAACATTTAATAAAACAGCTTGGAGCGTGGGGGGAATCGGTTCCCTCTCATAGGGAATCGGTTCCCTAAGTGTAAATTCAAATATTTCGACCGTTGAACAGGGGGGAATCAGTTCCCTCCGAGCATACTGGAATTCTCGGAGCCAAACCATTCAGGGGGGAATCGGTTCCTCCTATGGGGGGGAATCGGTTCCTCCTATGGGGGGGAATCGGTTCCCTCTGAGCAATCTGGAAATTTTGGCTTTGAATTGGTTCGAAATACTTTGTAAAATTATTTTGAAATTGTTTTATGATTAAAACTTAATTTTACACTTAAGTAAGGATTAAAAATGATTTTTGAAATATTTGGAGTAATGTTTTGATATTCGAATAGTTATATCGAATATACTTAGAAAATCATTTGGAAAATCTTAAAATCCATTTAACTTAATTTGTTATATCGAAATATCAAAATGTTTCAACAATCTCCCCCTTTTTGATATAACAAAACATTTTAGTAATTTTAAGATTTTTGAAATCAAGTTTTGAAATTACTCCCCCTTACTTTAACACTTCTTCAATTTATTATGTAAAACTCTTCTCCCCCTTTTTGTTAAATCAAAAAGACATTGTAAAACAAGGTTTTGAAATCAATTAGCCAATTGATTTATTAATAATAAGCTTAAGCTGCTAAGATCACAATCAAAAGAGAGATTAGCCATCAATATTCATAAATAATGTGATATGGTAAAATTGGTCATATTGCTAATGATGATGTAAATGATGCAAAAATGAATAAAACACCAAACATATAAGTTCACACCATTCATAAATCCAAAATCCAACAATCCACAAAATCAAAATAATTCAAAATGTTGAAACAATATTCATTTTGTTCAAAGTTTTAAAGCTAAACATAAAATCAAGCATCCGGATCGGTAGGAGGAAAACGGGCTCGCATAGCAGCCATTTCATGAGTTAGTTCATTGATACGAGCGTTGGTTGATTCATTGTTTGCACGCATCTCCCGAAGAATCTCTAATTGTTGAGCTCCCATTGTGGATAAATGAGACTCTATAGAGGAAAAGCGCGAGTCCATGGTAGCGTATCGGAAATCGAATGTCTCCATAAAGGATTGAAAATATGGAGGAATTTGATGCGTTTGTTGTGCTTGCTCCTCGGGCTGCTCTTCGGGCTGATCAGGCTCATCTTCGGCTTCATCGATATCTTGCATTAATTGCTCAAGCTCGGGATCTTCGTCACCTTCGGGTGGAGCTTGTGAAGAACTAGCTCCCGGAGTAGAAGATCGAACCCATTCACCGGTTTCTTTGTTCTTTACCCATCCCGCTCTCGTTAAGGAAAGAAGATTTATTTGTTTCTTAAGAGGAAAAACGGCATTTAGACCGACTCTAAGGCCAGCTTTGGAAACAGATTACTCAAAAAGCAACCGTAAAACTAGAGATGAACAGTGTTTCTTGTTAGGAACAAGATTTACGGTTTCAACAATTTCAGCAAAAATAATCTGAGGTAGGTTAATTTTAATACGGTTTTCGAAACAATGTAACCACCAAAGATCCAAGCTCTAAGAGTAGAATAACGACCTCCGGATGGTCGAAACCACCAAGAAATCATTAGATGAAGAAAACGCTCATGTAGGTCTAAGACACTCGCACTATCTCTTCTTTTATAACGAGAACCTAAAATTTGTTTTTCATTCGAAATACCATCATTATCTAATCCAAATGTGTTGGCTATATATGCCGGGTCAATATATAAGAATTGTCCTAGGAGGTAGGAACGAATTCCTATGGTTTCGGTTTCAGCTTGGTTTTTAACACATACGGCATTAGAGTAGAATATACGAACAAGTTGATGGTAAACGATGGGTTCAAGATCAAATAGTTTATCAAATTTCCATTCTTGTAAAATGGGAAGATATTTAAAATCGATAGCTAACATAGCTTGACGAGAAGGAATACGTTCTTCCCGGATTTTGTAAGAATCGAAATATTGATAATACCAAAATCGGTGATTTCTAGACCCAGGATGATTGAAACACGAATTTTGGATAGTCAAGTTGGGATCAGGATTTGGAATAGGATTTTGAGGAATAGGAGGAGGATTTGGTTGACGATTAGAACGACTAGATGAAGACCTAGGACGTTTAGGATTTGACATGGTGAAGGAAATCGGAATAGATAGAATAACCTGCAATTTTAAAACAGATGTATGCAATTCAATTAATCCCAAAACTCAAATGAGTCCTCAATATTTCAAGATTCTCTAAATCAATCCTAATGGGCAAAGTTTTTGAAAAACTTTTGAAAATATGGTTTGAGAAACAATATATGTATAGTTTTTCATAACAACAACATAATTTAATCAAAACACAATAATTTGAAAAATAATTTTTTATTATTTCGAAAAATTAAAAAAATTGAAAAATTCTTGTGTTTTTGATGAAATTAGTTGTAACATCTAGTTTCTAATCACTAAATAATCAATGCCCGATCACTATTTCAACCTAGAACTAATTAAAACTAATCCTATGTTCAAAAATAATGAAATAAAGAGTTTAGAAAAATTACCTTGAAAGATGAAGATTGAGGGGATTTAGATGTTGTTTGCAAGACTTTAATGATTTCAACAGGTTTAGAAGATGATATATGAAGTAAATTCCGATTAATATTGTCGATTTGAGACAAAAATGGAGATTTGATGGTGTAGGAGGTGAAGAACGACGGAAGAGAGGGAGAGAAGAGGGTTTTGGGATTTTGGGGGTGTTCTGCCGATTTTAACAGAACCCCATGGGGGTATCGATTCCCCTGTGGGGGGAATCGGTTCCCCTTCAAAGGGGGAATCGGTTCCCTCAGGGGGGGATCGATTCCCTCTGCACCAAAATGCTAAAATCCGATT